TTGGACAGCTGCCTGTGCGTTCTTTGTGCTCTCCCTGCCCGCCGTTCGTGCAGCTCGGCTACCATGAAATCGAGGGGCTCTCTTCTCTCTACGACTGTACCGTTCGGAGTCCTTGGATCCCGTCCCAGCGGCTGATCCACGAAAAACGCCACCCCGGGATCCCCTTAAATCCATCTGGAAATTCCTTTTGTATGACATCTGGATTTGCGAGGGATCTGCTTTCCACCCTGGGGAATATTCCAAAATGCCTGAGGCTAATTATCTACTGTCCGTCTCTTGGGGCTACATCAAGGTGGGTTTCAACATTTTGGGGCACCTCTGTTTTTATTGCGATCTATTTTTATTCTTTGCGTGGACAGGACTCTTTATGCCTGGTTATAGGCAGGGTGAAGTTTTGTATATAATTAGGTCATATGCTATCTAGACCTTTCATTTTTGTGTACCCATCAAGCAGTTTAGCGTGGAAAAGATCGTCGGACCGTACATTTGGGGCTTCCTTTTTTTTTTTTTTTGCCTCGTCGTCCATTTTTCGGATTTGTGCTGTTGATGCGTTTTCCAAGCAGTATGCTTAATCAGGAGACTGTAAGGCCCTCAGGTGATCATTGAAATTCGGGTCTTCTTAACTAAGCGATGTTATGCCGTTGTGCATGGAAAAAGGGGGATTTCTGTTGCCATCTTTGTCTTTTTCATGATATAACATTAGAAAGCTGACGTGATGCTTCTCCCTTTTGCTAACCATCATCTGTCACAAAGCCCTTGAGAAGTTTATTCTGTAGGAAACCAGTTTTGATGAACGTTACCTTGAGTCCATGCATTAAAACATACGTCAGGGGGTTATAAATGCACACCGACCTGAGATGGGAAGCCCCGATCACCTATTCAGCCCATGTCAAAATGAAATGCCGATTTATAACGACATCCAGATATGGGGGACCTGGATTTTAATTGTCATTCTTGTTTTGTTTTTAACAGTTCAAGAGGATGCTGAATCGGGAGCTGACCCACCTCTCGGAGATGAGCAGATCGGGCAACCAGGTGTCTGAATACATCTCCAGCACATTCTTGGGTAAGGGCGCTTTGATTTGCTGCATACCCATAATGCTTTGCTGAGTTGACACAGCTCTTGTTAAATGACCGTTATTACATGGCTGCAGGCAGGTGCGCCTGTTTGTTTCCGATGGAATTCCTCGGGAACTCCCTTTGAAGACGCGTGGGTTCCGGGCAGGAGACGCATGCTGATGGTTATTAGGGTATTAAATATAGATAAAGCTATAATATTTGTTACAGAAAACTATCCCGTTCACCATTTGCATCGAAGCTTACCAACATGACCTGGTGCTTTTTCACAAAAACAGCAGCTCTTGCCATGGTTAGCAGAAAACTTACAGCTTGAGGATTTATCATACCTCCAATGGTCATATATAGGTAGAAAAATTAGGCCTGTGTGTGTATGGCTGCAACATAGCACTGAACAGTTCTGAACCAGTAAAAATAACTGTGCCCCCTCCATGATACAAAATAGGGCATCCCCCATATGCTCTTTGTAAGATTAGTAGTCAGTCATATGATGTAGCTTTAAGAAAGGAGGTAAAAAAAAATTAATTTGTTGTATTTATTAGTTTCAATGAAAGCAGAAATTTGCTTGAAAGCAGAATTTTGCTTTACCTGTAGATTGGAGCTCTTCAGTATCCATCCGCTTTAGTGGGCCATAGTGTATCCATGTTAACAAAAAGGTAGTTTATCCATTCATCTCCTTGCCCCGTGTCTCCTTGTTGGCAGCAGGTCCTAGTGAATTGGCTAGCTGAATCACCTCTGCTGTCGAGTATAAACATATGTATAAAAGGGACCGAAGGAAGCTAAAACAAGAAGCAACATAGCTAAAGTTTCAAAAAGTCATGTATTAGCCAACCGCTTTAGGTGGAAGAACTCCCTGAATGACCAGAAATGACTGTTTCGGAACACGTGGCGCCCATGGTAAAAGGATCATGTCTCTTACTTTGGAATAAACCAAGTAAACGACCTTTTGGCAAATGGTTGAATTCAATCCGGTCAACCACCATGTTTCCCAGACAGTCAATTCATAGATCCTGGCAAATTCGCAGGCTGCTCACTCTAAGAAACATCACCATGGTGGCCATATTTTGGCCCTGACTGGTAAGACATCAAGTACAGCCTCTCATTCCATTAGGAATTGGAACATCAACATGATACCCAACTATGTGGCTTGCACTATACTTCCAGGAATGAGTGACACCACCAAGGACAAAGATGTCACCGTGACTCTTTTGGTTGGTTAAGGGTCCTCCCTGTAAAATCGCTGCATCCGCTGGGTATGGAAGTACTCTTATTATTTGGGTATAAATAGATGCTGTGTATTGAATTTGGATAGTATGTACATCATACACACTACAGGAGGTCATCAAAGTAGTGACAAATCCAATGACATTTGCCATACAGGAATCCCCTGCACTTATAGGCCTTATTGATAGGAGTATCTGGAGGGACTACTCTTCTCCTATAACAACCATTTAATGGAAGTATCATCAAGGGCTGATCTTGTCCCCTATAGCAACCAACCCATGGAATTATCGGCATGGATTGCTCTGGCTGCCCATGGCAACCAGCTGATGTAAATATCAGGAGGAACTGCTCTTGTCCTTCATAGTAACCAGCCGGGTGCACATTGCTCTGAACCAGCTTCATGATAGTGACAATGGTGGCCTGTGCCTGAGTGATGTTTGTCAGCACAAGCAATTGTAGTCTTAACCATGCATGAGGGTGACAACGCAGGAACACAACTGGGAGAGAGTTGTCCCCCTATTAGCAGGAAGTGCCTGTGAACAAGGAGCTTCGTGGATCTGATTGTTTAACATTGCTATGGGAAACCTGCTCTTTTTTCAGACCTTTTACCAGGCTCCACTGGACAAATGTTTATAAATCTAGGCCAAGCTGAAAGCGGGTCAATTTCCGCATTGTGTATATTTTTCGTCATATGTGTTTAATACATTGCACACTTTTTTACTATTTTGCATGGGGAAAAAATGGCAAAATTGCATGGGAAACTGCCTAAACTGGCGGAGGTAGGAGTGGTTTAGTGGGAATCGCCTCTTCTGCGTGGAAATGACTGAAGGTTTCACACTTCCAGAAGGAGATTCCAGACACAAGCCGCTCGTCAATTCTCCCAGTGGATGCGGCAGCCCACAGGGAAACACCTATTAGTGTCAAACCGATGTCGCAAGTGAATAATAGCTGCCTGTATTATCCCACGCCCCTCTCCAGACACAGCTGCACTTCGCCTCAACTATTTTCCATTGTGCAGGAGCTTTAATTAGGCCGAGAATAGTGGGCGCATGTCTGAGGCTCGAGGAACACGGTCAGGAGGAGGTGCCGAGAAGACAGAATAACCTACTTTTATGAGAATGCTGGTGGGTTACATGCATGGCTGTTTTAACTCTATCCATGGCATGGTAATACTTCCTTGTAGCATAAAAATAAAACTTACAAAAAGCCTAAAGGATATTAAAGCTCCAGTTTTATAGCCATGTATTAAATGCACTGCAAATGCAAAATTTGCACAGAAATTTGAGCATCCGAGTTGCAAATTAATGGGATATTCTATGTGCATTTTCTTGTAAGAGTAATCTGTGTTTTGAATACACACGATTGTATTTCAAGGTTTTTTATTGTAATGCCCACTTTTAATGAAGGGGGTCAGTATTTATGCATTAGGCTTTAGCTGAATTTTCCGGTGATTGGGCGAAAAAATTGGCCACTGAAGAGGGAAGTGGTATCCATAGGGATAAATAGCCCTCTATACTCCCAAATTTGGTGCTGGTAAAAAGGCTTGTTCAAGGTCCTGACATAAACTAGATGACAGGTGACTATGTCAAGTCAATGGAGATGGGAGGGGCTTAACAGCTCTTTCCTCAAGCAGGCTTGGCAAGGGGATTCCATCAAGGCTTAATGACATACCCCTAAAACCGACAGACAAGGCAAACTTTTTTGTTTGTAGTTCCCGTAGGTCTTTGGGAACAACATCCAATCCAGTTTTAGGGTATGCAGTGCTTAGTGAACTTTTAATTCATTATATTTTACAAAAATGGTTGTAACCTATATGAAATAGACAGAACTGAAAGCCTTAATAAAATGAATTTTTAAGTATTTTGACTTTTTCTGATGTTTGTTTTTTCCCTCCAGATTTTAAAATATTTCATGCTTTATCGTTGTTTTTGCGAATATTTTCATTAAAATTCATGTACGCTTTTGTTTTCATAGACAAGCAGAATGATGTGGAGATCCCGTCCCCAACACAGAAAGACCGTGAGAAGAAGAAGAGGCATCAGTTAATGACGCAGATTAGCGGAGTGAAGAAGTTGATGCATAGTTCCAGCCTCAACAACACGAGCATGTCCCGATTCGGAGTCAAGACGGAAAATGAAGACTTGTTGTCTAAAGTACGAATGGATTTTGTGTTTTATGTTATATGATGGTCAGTGATGACCTGACACAGATGTATAGAAAATAGACTTGAGTCCTTGGAGGGGAGTAATACTGAGTGACAGCTGTGCTCGGCCAGACCACTTGCCACTTTGGTAGCCTTTTAAGACTTGATGGGAGGTCACCAGGTGAGGTGAATACATGCTGTTCCAAGCTCTAGGAAACAGATGACATGGGGTCATACATAGTGCTTTGTTAACATACAGAAACCATTTTTTTCTTATCCTAAAGACACCCTGTCACCAGCAAACCCTTTGTGTCATCAGGCTTTTCCACAAGCTGATATAACCTGATTCATACTATATGACAGTACTGGGCCAGTTAGGCTAAGCCTAGGCACCAAGTCACTGACCCTAAACTAGTATGTGGCGCACGATTTAGGAAATGGCAGAGCTGTGTAAATCTTAGACCCAGATGGACAGAAATACAAATCCTTTGTCATAATTAGCTGTTTGCATGGGGTTCAGCTTGAATTCATCAGTATTTAATACTACACTTGTTGCATTTGAAAGATTTTCTTCCTGCGTTTTGTTAATTAGTGTTCATTCGTTCCGCAGGAATTGGAGGATCTGAACAAGTGGGGACTCAACATCTTCAAGGTTGCAGGCTTTTCTTGCAATAGACCACTTACCTGCATCATGTACGCTATATTCCAGGTCAGTATCAGGAATCGATAACTGAACGGAAATGTCTTTCCTTTCAATTATGTAGTGATCTTTTATTTCTTTTCTAGTGTTTTCAGTAAGCTAAAATATATCTACTGTTTTACTACACAGGAGAGAGATCTGCTGAAGACATTTAAAATTCCCACAGACACACTAATCACCTACACGATGACCTTAGAAGATCACTACCACTCGGACGTGGCCTATCATAACAGCCTCCACGCCGCTGATGTCGCACAGTCCACACATGTGCTCCTTTCCACTCCAGCTCTGGATGTAAGTAGTTGGGAAACCTCAGAGGAAATTAAGTGGGGGAGGGGCAACAGGGACCTCTAGGAAGTTCTATAATAAAGTATAAAGTTAAAGGTTTTTTTTAATGAAAGTATACCCAAAGCCAAAACCTTTCATGTTCCTTTCTTGTGGATCCAGTAGGGAATGGTTAAAACCCTTGTCAGGTTTTCTTTTTTCCATCTGTGTCCCATTAGGGATATTTCCCTTTCTGTTCTGTGGACACAACAGGAAGTGAGGGGGAAATCTCTCCAAAGGAGCAGAGACTGTTGTTACTGGAACAAGTGTCCTCATTCCTGTTCTGGCGAGACCTCAAAGTTTTGGATTTCTCTTCGCTTGTAATCCAAATCAAAAGGGGTCTATATACCTAAAGCACCTATATAGCAAATGAATCAGCGTCAGCGCTTGGCCCATGTCATTAGTCATTTGATAGAAATCACTGAAGTTTGACTGTCCTAAAGGAGGATAAAGCTGCTAAACCATTGCAGCTGCTTCTTCTGATCCTTTACCAGAATTCACTGTTAGCATATACTTAGTTTGTGCCATTGCACCAGTTGTCCTCCAGGTCAGAGGTAGCCAATCATCTACTGGAAAAGGGTCGGCCAACCACAGACAGGCATGTGTCTCAATGAAGCTAATGTACAGCGAGACATCTGCCTGTCCTTGCTCACATCACTTGGGGCCAACAGGTGCATGGAATGAATGTCTCCATTTATTGGGTTACTTTTGGGTGGTAGTGAACTAGTGTTATTATCTGGAAGCCCTGCAAATACGTAGATGTAGAAAGCTTTGTTCTAAAACTTAAGTTATATGAAAACATTTTTTTTTCAGGCTGTCTTTACCGACATGGAAGTCCTTGCCGCAATCTTTGCAGCCGCCATTCATGACGTAGACCATCCGGGAGTCTCCAATCAGTTCCTGATCAATACAAGTGAGTTTCCCTTGCATCACGGTAGACTTTTCCCATACCTTCCAACTTTGCGGAATAGGGAAGAGGGACACATTATAGCATGAAATATGTAGGCAAAAGGCATGCCCCTGCCACACCTTCAGTAGTGATCCATACATCAGCCAACAGAGGAAAAAAGAGGGACAAAGGGATTTGGTTCCAAAAGAAGGACAGTCCCTCCAAAGGAGTAAAAGTTGGGAGCTGTGCTTTACCATCTTGTGTAGAGAAGTGAGGAAACACAAATACCTAGCCCAGATCTGTTGTTATGTAGTTGGGAGTTTTATTCATGCTGTAAGATGGTAAAGCGATTTTAGGACTGCTACAAACACTGACATATGCTGTTAACATACAGCTATACCTACTGTCCTGCCCGGTGGGGTACACATGGCAATAATAGTCATCTTTGGGAGACATCTCCAAAAGGAGTCATCCATTTACCACTCAGTTATGGGCAGTTCTTCATTATGTCCATTAGGAACATGTTAGGCCTATGTCCTTATCAAATAGTTGTAGCCATTTTTACTTTGTATCAGGTTTTATTTTGTAGGCAGTGGGGACGTTCTCATGGGGAGATCATCAGGATTCACTGCAATAAATGTTTGTTTTTTAATAGATCACTAAGAGATCACTAAATCATATTTTCACTTTCAGATTCTGAACTTGCACTTATGTATAATGACGAGTCTGTCTTGGAGAATCACCACCTGGCTGTAGGCTTTAAGTTGCTGCAAGAGGAAAATTGTGACATCTTTCAGAACCTTACCAAGAAGCAGAGGCAATCACTCAGGAAAATGGTCATCGACATGGTAAGGATCTTTAAGATTACGTTGAGGGTCTTGAGGCCTCAGATGGACTACAAGTGGTGGGGTGGATGAGATGGGCTAGAAGTGGTGAGGCGGCTGAGACGAGCTAGAAATGGTGGGACGGACATAATGGGCTTGAAGCGCAAGGTGAGAGGAGCTATAAGTGGTGGGGAGGAGATGATAAGCTAGAGGTGAGGGCTGGATGAGATGTGCTAGTAGTGGACGGGAGGATATGATGAGCTAGAAGTGGAGGGCTGGATGAGACATGCTAGAAGTGGTGGGGAGGATATGATGAGCTAGAAGTGGAGGGCTGGATGAGACATGCTAGAAGTGGTGGGGAGGATATGATGAGCTAGAAGTGGAGGGCTGGATGAGACATGCTAGAAGTGGTGGGGAGGATATGATGAGCTAGAAGTAGTGGGGGATGCGATGGGCAAAAAATGGTGGTGGGGAAGACGAGACATGTTTTATGTGGCTTCCAGTTTTTTAGAAACTCTGTAGACTTTGTGGCATGATTGTATTCTATATACTGGGCCTGCAACTAAGTTAGCGCTCAAAGACAGCCCTTATCATGCAAATCATTGGCCAGTGCTAGGTTAGAATATTTTTTACTTATCTTATCACTTTTTCATAGGTGCTTGCCACAGACATGTCCAAACACATGAGCCTGTTGGCCGACCTGAAGACGATGGTGGAAACCAAGAAGGTTACTAGTTCTGGTGTTCTTCTGTTGGACAACTACACCGACCGCATACAGGTATGTTTATAAATTAACCTATTAAATCCTTCATTTTATTTTTCCTCCTTTATTCTGATCCCAACACCCTGATGTTCTGGAAGGGTCAGCCCACTCAAACTCATAATTTGTTTTTTGGTAGCATTAAACCAGAACTTTTCTAAAGTTAAAATCAGTTGATTTTTGCCTTCTTGGCCCCATTGGAAATATTTCTCTTCACTTCCTGTGCCAGAAAAAGCGAGAGGACATCCTTATACAGTGAGGAAAATTCCCTTCTAAGGTTGTCTCTGGAACAGGCGCCATCTCTATTTCTGTTCTGCTGAGAACCATGACATTTTGGATTTCTAATAACTGTCTTGGTAACAGTGGTCACCAGGGCAAATAGAGAGGGTGCTTCTACGGAGCATGGACAAACACAGCAATACAAACTTGACATGGGTTCTAATCCTTCCCCTCTCCATCAAAAACTAAAGAAAAAAGGTTTTGGCTAAACAAACTCTTTAAGAAAGCGGTCTTGAGTTACAATAATATTTGAAAAGACCACTGTATGTGGTGTTCATATCAACTGATCAGATTATCCCTTTCATTCTTGGGGGAAAAAAAAGGATTTAGTTAATATTGGCAACACAAGCAAAGTCTTTTTTTTTTGCTAATATGTACTCAGTGGTTATTAGGGTAAGGGGTTATGGAATATGACTGTTCTATGACATAGGTAGGGGAGCAATCTCTTTTAGAAGATCTTCTGTGGCGCCAGGCAGATTTGGATCTACAGAGAGACATTTCCTCCTAGAACAAGATCAGAAATTATCCCAGGATTTCGTAAAATCACACCAGCAGGATTAGCTGACAATAGGCCATTCAGCCAGTGCAACCCAGTGACTGCCAGCCTAAGACGTTACTGGCAAATCCTCTTCTTCAGTGAATGATGTAAAGTTCACCTTCAAAATATAAACAAGCCGACTTCGGGAAATGAAAAAAAGTCCACAAAAACATGTTTTTCAGCTTGTGTTTAGAAACTTTCTGTTGTAATGACGTGGAACAGAGTGTTGAGGTCTGTTACTGAACGCGAGGTCTTCTTTATCACAGGTTCTCAGGAATATGGTGCACTGCGCAGATTTAAGCAATCCAACAAAATCTCTGGAGCTCTACCGGCAGTGGACGGACAGAATCATGGAGGAGTTCTTCCAACAGGGAGACAAAGAGCGAGAACGGGGCATGGAGATCAGTCCAATGTGTGACAAGCACACGGCTTCTGTGGAAAAATCACAGGTATGTTCCTTCTCCGGTATATTGCCAACCGGTCTCACACCTTCAAATATTATTTCAATCTGGACCAGAAATGGGTAGCGGTTGAGGAATTACAAGTGGTCACACTCCTTGCCATGGTGGAGCTGGAAACCCAGAATGCATCCACTAGTCTAAAATTACATTTAAAAAAAGTAAATGGTGTTGAAGAAAACTCTTCATGTGTCCATATAGCCCATGGCCATGCCACTTTTGGTAGTCCACCAACACTACTATCAGATACATTAAATTGTTCCTTCTAGCTTAAAGGAGAACTATGAGGTGAGTGCTTTTCACTCACCTCATAGTTCTAGCCGACCTGTGACAATGAGACTGTCACAGGTCGGCTCAGTAGATCGGTAAGTGAGCGAACACATACTGTCGTTCGCTCACTTCTCGATCCTGTCACGGCTCTCTGCCGGGACAGGGTAGGGACTGGATTCCCCCCTCCCCGCTCCGATCCTCCCGCGCTGACTGGCGGAACGGAGGGGCGGGTACAGCTGGCTCTGCCTCTAGATAGGCAGAGCCAGCTGTCACTTACGCAGCTGGGCGGATCCAGACATAATTAATGGGATCTGCTTCAGCTGCGGCGTCTCAGTATACCGCGAGCTGTAGCTCGTGGTATACTGAGCTTAGGGTGACGGGAGGATGCTAGTTTGTGTCCTCCCGTCACCCTAAGGAGAACTATGGGGAAAAGCCCTAAACCCATAATTCTCCTTTAAGGCTGAAATCAAGACAATGTAGACAGAAGCTGTTTTATAATCTAGTCCTGAGATTTATGCAGCCCAGACAGCAGATCAAGGGTAGGTTTGTGACCTGCCTACTGCAGTTAACCAATAGAGCCTGATCACCTCCCATCCTCCCAACCTGTGATTGGACAGTTAAAGGACAGCAACTCTAATTATATTTAAAAATGTATTTAATCTAATTGTACAATGAATGCATGATCACCTGTAACCTTTCTTTCTCTGCTGTTGTTGCAAATGAAAAATAATAATTGGTCTTTCTTTCCTAGGTTGGCTTCATCGACTACATTGTCCATCCTTTATGGGAAACATGGGCAGACTTGGTCCAGCCTGATGCTCAGGATATTTTAGATACGTTGGAGGACAATAGGAACTGGTACCAAAGCATGATACCTCAAAGCCCTTCTCCTCTTATGGACGAGCAGGACAATGACTGCCCTGGGGTCTCGGAAAAGTTCCATTTCGAGCTGACTCTTGAAGAAGAAGATTCAGAAAGCCACGACAAAGACAGGGACTGTATCAGTTACTATAGCAGTACGAAAACTCTTCATATGGTCGATCCCGGGATCGAGGACTCTCCAGAAGGCGATGCAGAAATACTGACAGACGACACATCGCCTCTGGACACATAGGTCACGTTTGGTTGGGAACGTTTGACCCAGGAGAACACATGCGGGCTGTCTTTGTTGACAAGCATGTCATCTTGATCTTAGGCCTTGGTTGAGAACGGCCAAGATCTTTGCAGCTGCTCGTCAGTGGAGTCGTGGCTGAGGGTGCCGAATTGAAAGATTGCTCAGGAAACTACCAAGTAATGTACGTTACTCTTCGGCATTGTTTTTTTCAGGAGGAGGGGGGGAAAAAAAAGTGAGACGTGAACACATGGACGTGTTTTTGAAAAGAGCATGATTGGTCCGAGAACTGTACAAAAACAAAAAAGACACAAAACTGAGAGATTTTTTTTTTTAACGTGAAATTTTGAAAAAAATCCAAAAAAAAACCTAGTTAGAGGGTAGAAATGAATACTATTATTATTCGGTAGGTCTATGTCGAAAACCCTGTCCAACTGTCCGAGGACGTGTGTGCCTTTTTTGTATGACTTCCATTGTCTGAAATGCCTATTAATTACACGATATTTAGTGTAAACCGAACAAGGAAATAATTAACTTGTATATTTTAATTCTTTCTGGAAAGAAGCAGTCTTCCTTTATTGTGGCAATATATGTGACTTTATCGCAATTATTCAGAATCACAACAAAAAAAAAAAAGAGAGACCGTTTTCGTCTCTGGTCATCGCCATTCTCTTCATGCACTTAAAGTCATTTCACGTTTTTTGCTTGATACAAAGATATGTGTTGAGATTGTTGCTTTCTGTCGCATATCTTCCACACGATCTATTAAAGAGGTAATCTTTTTATTTTTTTGTTTTATTTTTTTTCCCTAACGTGCATCCACTACATTTGACGATCGGAAGGCGGTGTGTGTTGTAATGTGTATGACCACGTTCTGCATGGTTTTTCTTTTCAATACTTCCTCCTGTCATCTATAAGCGAAAACCATTGTTTTTTTACCTTGCACTGCCTCAAGTCCTGACACGTACTTTTACTGTTTATAACAGTGTAATATTATTATTATTATTATGTAAATAATGTACTGTTTTCTAACTTATTAATTTATATAAATTAACATTGCCTGTCACTGGTGGTGTTGATGGTTTAGAAGAAAAGGAAAAAAAAAACTCTACATCAGAGTTGATTTTTTTTTTCTTGTATAATTTGTTTTTATTAGAAATGTTTGCCTGAACAGTGACTCCCAAAAGACATACTGAACCCAGGGCTAGCACTAGGACAATTAATAACTGTGCCATGGGACCAGGGATCCCTGAAGGCGTTGGGGAACTACAAGATCTGCAATCTGGACTTTTAGTTCCTCAACGCCAACAGGGATAGCGAACCTGGTCTCGGGCGCTCCACTGTCGTTCCTGTACAAAACATCACAGATCCTGAAATATTTTAGTTAGAATTACCTATACATTTGTTGTTCTATCAATATTATTACTAAACGTCAATATTTTGCTGGTGTAATTTTTTTTTTTTATTATTAAAAAAAACAAACAAAAAAAATAATGTATGCATTCTGAGAACTTATATCGGTCTCGGCTTGTGTAATGTTTGAAGTTTTGGTCCGATTAGTGACCCGTCCCTCGTGTCCGGAGTAAGTGCACTAACTTTGTGCATGGCGTATGGGTCTGTATGTCTGTTGACACTGCATTGTTCCAGGTGTAGGCTCTCATTTTGACACAAAGTATGTTAAAGTATTGTATATTGTGCTACGATGCATTCTTAAAAGAAAAAAAAAACTTTTTATATTAAGTGAATAAAAAGAGGAGCATGAAAAACCTAATGTATGCAGTGTTGATTATTTGAAAGACGTGTTATATATGTAACAAAACACATACAATTCATGGACCATTCACAGGCCAGGGAAGTTGGTGTTGGTTTGGAGTGTGGTATTCTACCTCATATGATTTGCTATGTTCTTTTGGGGCACAGTTATAGTGCTCATAGACTTGGTAGGCAGTCCAACCGCCATCTGACAGCATATCTAAACCCCCCCCC